CAAAATATTTGTGCTGCTTTGATAGCAAGTTTTGCGCTTTCCTTTGCTGAAAGATCTACAAATCTCATATTGTAAAACAAAACTTCTAAAACCTGCCGATTAGATCGAAGTTTTGCACCTGTAATTTGATGCATTGTGTATCCAATCAAACTAACTTTTCTTAAATTGGCAACTGACATTCGTGCTGCTAAACTAGACATATTAGTTTATTTTATATACTTCACTTTTTACACTTTAAACACAACCGCCCACAGAAATTCAAACAATTTTAAAGTATTTATTAAACCAAATAAAATAAGTGTTATTTCTTGCTTGTGAACGCTTACAATTATATTTACTTATTAAAATCACAATATGCACTAGAACCACTTGCATGCTTTTGGAAATATTTCACAGTAGGAATGTCCCGTTATGAGCAGTTACTATTTTATTTTCTGAACGACTTACACAGTTCACTTTTTCTCAGGAAATTTGTTTGCCTACAAACAGCGCGCTCTAAATGTAGAAACAAACTTCGGTAAATTTGCAAAATATCAAGCTTGTGTTGCATGCCTTTTTTTTAAATACGCAAAATTATCACAATTATTTTAAATGTTATTACCGAATAAGAATATAAAAATGGAATAATTACTTTTGTATACATATATGTTTTGTTAAATATACTATAAAAACTACGTCTAATATAAGGCCAATGTATGAACATTGATATTTGCCCATACTGACCTATTGAATTTTTCAGCTAGCTTCCGGGTCCACTAAATGTTATCGCATTGACCCCAAACTTTTACCGTTTTATCTAAATACATAAAGGAGCCGATTTCTGGCCGGGAATATATAGAAACCCGATGCTTAAAAATAAGGACACCTCTAATGTACACACAAGCATTCACTTGAAAAATCTTGGTGGGTCTGACAAAGATATTAAGGGTAGTTCAAGTATTTTTGAACATGCTTGTTATAGAATATGCTGAGATGATACAAAATATGGTATGGGCCAAACATAGCAAGACTTTGTTCATACTTTTTTCATCAAAATATATATCGTCCCCCTCAAAGTAATCCGCCTTGGCCCCATACACTTGTGACAAAGTTTCTTCCAATCCTCAAACAGTTGCCAAAGTTAATTTACAAAATAGCCTCCAATGCGCGATTCACATCTAGTGCTTTCAATTAACTGAAAACGGTTTTCCCGGATTAGTCGTTTGAGTTTGTTGAATAGCCAAAAGTAATATGGAGCTCAATCAGGCGAATACGAGCAAAGAGTTGTCGGCTCATAATTCTGGCCCTTTTTTATGAATAGCTTCGCGCAAACGGCCCATAATACTCAGATAGTATTCCTTATTGAAAGTGGGAAGGAATTCGAGTACACCACACCTAGATAATCGAAACTGTCAACATAAACTAGCTTTTTGACCTGCTTTATCATGTTTTTTCTTCTCCCAGTAAAATCTCTGAGTGTTATCGTCGATTATCAAACGCCAATTTCTTTATTTTATTGACGTGCTGATCATCAGTTAATGTCGATGGCCGTCCTGGACGTAAGTCTTCGTCAACGCATTCTCGACCCATATTTTGTACCAATCAAAAACATAGGCTCGTGACAGATAGTTTTCATCGAAGGCCTTTTCTAACATTCCGAACGTTTCGGCACCATAAATTTGATTCCCTACACAAAATTAACTGGAACTTTTTGGTTGAATAATTTTATTCATCGTACAAAGCGACGAATGCACTTTATTGATTTCCGAAAGACAAGCGTTAACTAAACACTAATTATTATTTTGATGTGACATTTGGTACAGATGTCACTGACAGTCATGCTATCTTAGAAAAAGAAACCTATAAAGTCTTACTATTTTTTGCCCATAATAGTACATACATAAACAAATATGTAAAGTTGTGTACTTTTACATAGTATTTTACACATGTACATAAATAAATGAATAAATGTATGCATTGATAATATAGCGTTACAAAAATTAATTTCGGCAATATAATTCGATACACTTCAAAATAATAGCGGAATTCTGTAAACAGTTTCTAGTCACTATTTAAGACTTTTTGAGGTAAAATTTGTGACTAGTTACTATTTACAAAAAAGTCTCTAGTCTTTAGTCACAAAATATTGTCTCAAATTTGTGACGTGATAGTTAGCAGGTCACAAAACAAAAGGCCCTATTCTTGTGCCCTCACAAAAATCACCAACCTCACTATTGTGCGGTTTTCCGTGTGCTGAGGTGATTTCAAAAGCACAAATGCCCAAAATTAACGCACAACTTTGTGAGGTCTGAAAGCAAACCTCACAATGCAAAATCGGTTGTGTTTGTTTTGTTAATTTCAACATTTTTAAAGAAATTTGCAATTATTTTATTTAAATAGAATAGAAAAAGTATTATATTTCAAAGGCGTTATCTATTATTAATATGTATATGTAACTTACGGCCTGTCTACATTTTACTTCCTTCTGAGCATGAATAAAAAATAATATACATATTTATGTTTAAATAATTTGAACAATATTTTATTTGTAAACATGTATTTATGTATTATTTGCAGCTCCTCCCAAGTTGTTTTCATATTAAATCCAAAAAAAAAACTAAATTATTATATAATACAAGCACCAAATTTATAAATTTGCGAAATTACTTACTTTTCTTAGTTGTCCACTTCTTTATTTGGTCTTGTTTGTTTTTGTAAAACAGCTGGTGCTTTTCAACTCATATGGTGAGTGTTTTGTGTTTTTTCTCACAAAATAAATCCCACAAACTATTTGCGTTTATTTTCATTCAAGTATAAATACATCCCTAATTATGAAATACAAGAACTTATTAGCCATGTTCGTTTTCAATTGAGAGACTTTTGTGTGACAGTCACACTGCAAAATTGCAAAATCGTCTCAAGTCTCAAAAATTTTCTCTAATTTAAAATCTCAATTTTAGAGACTTGTGACTTTATCACAATACAGAATCGGACGGCGGTAACTCTAAACTCGTAAACTATCTAAGTAAGTTCAGATAGAGTAAAAATTGTAATATATATAAGAACAAGTAAAAAAATAACAAAATCAGAATGAAAAAAATCTGACTCAATGAAAGAACTTTAATTTCCTTACCAGCGGTGAGATCTTAAAGAAATGACCGTATTGAGTTTTTACACTTATTATATATGTATAGGGTTTTAAATAATGAGCTACAAAAGAAGAAATTATTAAAATTTATTACCGAAATTCAGAGTCTGTGGTCTCAAGTTTAAGAGCGCTACGTCGAATTGATGATCGTCATAATCCTCCTGTCAGATCAACAGCATAAATATTCCCGTGGCAGTGAGACAAAGAAGTAGCCGTAGTTTCGATAATATTTCTGGCGCTAGAGCATCGATTGAGGAAGATCAAATCAGTATCTCACCACAAGTTACACAGCGAATGTCAAAATCGATTTATTGAAAACCAAGTTTGATGAACGTGTTATCTCACGAAATGGCCCAGTCAACTGGCCTCCTCGGCCGTAAGATTTGACGCCATTAAAATATTTTCGGTGGGGAAACGTCAAGTCTTGAACTTTGTACGAATATCGAATATGAAATTGCAGCCGTATCGACCGATTTATGCTTGAAAACCATCGAAAATTGGGTTTAACGTCTGAACTAGACTTCTTCAAGCGTGCCCGTGGGGTCATGCAAAAAAAAAAATCTAGTTTCATACGTAAAGGCATCGAATGTACTTTCACAGAAATAAAGAATTTCATTGATATCTCAAACCGTTTTTATTTTATTTACTTCTTATACTCTTGCAACCAGTTGCTACCGAGTATTATAGTTTTGTTCACGAGTGTACGTATCATCTAAAACTAATCAAGACCGATTTAGGGTTACATACAAGTATATTTAAATGCTCAGGGTGACGAGAAAAGTTGAAATTCGATTGACTGCCTCTTTTTATTGAAACGTAAGAAAGTAATGGTTTTACATTTCATTGAAATTGCAACTAGTGATAAATGTAAACTAACAAGCCACTAAAGAATTTATGAAGTAAAACAATGAAAGCTGTAATAACACGCTTTTTTTCTTTTTTAAACGAAACTTAATAACTAAATATTATGATATTTGTTATTTTCTTAGGTTCTTAATAGATCATGAAACGTTGTTCTTTTCTGTCTCTCAGTTGTCAGGCTTCAGTGCTTACATGGTTTTGTAACCTTTTAGCCTATGAGAAGCTTAGTTAAACTGCTTAATTCTGTTTTATATTAAGAAAGTCGAGTGAAGTTTTAAAATATCGGAAGGATATTTAGTAAACAAGATTCTTTGTTTAGGAACAGGAGTACTTTTGAAAGCCGATTCGTAAATGTATGTACTTCATCGTCTAAAATATCTTTTAATCTGAAGTACTCCCAATTCGTAAGTTTATTAGAGAGATAAGGTGGTATGTCGATTTCTTTTAGGTGTCCGTTTAGTATTAGATATACTGGTGAATGTTCCGAATTTAAGTCCAACCCATTTTCCATGTTAATGAAGGTCTTAGATATTTGTCGAGTGATGAAATGTCAATCAGTTCAAGTAATTTTCTTGTGTCGAAAGGTTAAACAGTATGTCCGTCCGTGCAACTTT